GCAAGGACATTGGTTAAAAGAATGGGATTAAATGCATAAAGGATATTTGTGTTGTTTAACATTTAATTATTGCAGGTTTGCGTCATATTCTGAGTTGCATTATTTTTATTCATTTTGAGGAATACTGAATCTGTTTTTTTTTTGTGAGTGAGATGAATTAATGCATATTCATATTTATTTTAGAACTACAGTAACATCTTCTGATTTCTCTCAACATGGGGACAGGAGAGCTGTCAATCAATAAATTGGAAAAAAAAGTAACGTGCGTTACTTATTTGAAAAAGTAACTCAGATATTCTCCTGTAAATTAAAAAGTAATGCGTTACTTTACTAGTTACTTGAAAAAAGAAATCTGATTACGTAACTCGCGCTACTTGTAATGCGTTACCCCCAACACTGCTGATGGCATGTTTACCTTGGCAAGTTGCTCTTTCAATGCTAGACTTCTGATATGTTTTAATAAGTATCAACTTCATCTCAGATTTTTCTCCCAATATGAGAAATAAAAATAGACAATAGTTGTCATTCAGTACAGGGCTCGCAAAACTTCAGGCAGGCACTCTTCAGATTTTAATAGCACAAAATTAGTTGAACTCTAGCCTAAAAAAGGCCATTTTTTAGTGTAGAAAATCGGATAGGAGTCTAAACATCAATTAAAAACTATAAAATTACATGATTTACAGTTCAGATACAGGTTTTCACAAAACAAAAAGTCTTATAAAATGATAAACATCACATTTCAGACTTGTATAAACATACAATTTATTATATTAATTTAAAACATAAATATATATCTTACTGTCTTAATTGTTTAGATTTTTAGAAGGCACATTAGCTTTTTTCACATTTACAACTGCGTGTTTGCAGCATAAAAACATGGGTCGATGTTCGCATTGATCTGAACATAAACAGCAGAAAGGCTTATTGCAAATGCAAGTTCATTCTCTGCCAGCAGGTGTCGCTTTTGAAACGTCAGGAATATAGCGGTTTCCCCGCTATCGAGATTTTTGAAATTATTATTATTAAGGCTTTTCTTAAACCATTTAAGGTATTTAAGACTTGTTATGGCCTTTAATTTGATGAACTAAATTTAAGGCTTTGAGACTTCTTAAGGACCGATTTTGCGAGCCCTGCGCAAAATTGAGTTCATATTGAGATTTTTGATTGCATGTATGATTTTCACAGTTTGAGACATCAAAATCTCTTCTGAAACTCGAGAGGAGACACGTGTGAGATTACGGAGGGTTTTTTTTTTTTTTTTTTTGAAGAGACAGTGTTATTTCTGTTACTATTATAGTTTTTACAAATATTCTGAATTAGTTTTCATTTTTCTGCTTTCATTTTAATTTGAGTTAAAATTGTAGTCATTTTGTTGTGTTTCTATTATAATTTTTTTAATGTCTTTTTATTAATTTTTATTTAAGTTTTAGTTATTTTAGTACATCAAGTTAAACTTCAAAAAATGAGAAATGCTGCCTTGGCAACTAACTGAATTAAAATAATAAGTTTAATTTGTAAAAAATATTTTATTTCAGTTAAATATTTATTTTATTTTAAATAATGAACATGTTTTTTTTATGGATTTAAAATTAATTAAATATTTCTTTTTTTGTTTTAGTACATAGAGTTAAATTACAATAAATTAAATGAGAAATGTTCCCTTGGCAACTAGCTGTTAAAATAAGATTGTTTTATTATTATTTAATTTCGGTTAACTTTATTTTATGTAATGAAAAATGTTTTTATGGTTTCTTAAAATGAATTAAATATTTCTGTTTTAGTTTGAGTTATTTTAGTACACCAAGTTAAACTAAAAGAATTGAAAAAGTTGCCTTGGCAACTATCTGAAATAATGAAAGGTTTAATTTTTATTTTATTTCAGTTCAATTTTAAGTACTGAACATTTTTATGGTTCTAAAATGAATTAAATATTTCAGTTTTAGTTATTTTAGTACATCAGGTTAAACTAAATGAAATTAGAAATGTTGCTTTGGCAACTAGCTGAAATAAAATAAGTTTAAGGTTTGTAATGAAAGTAATGAAAATGTTTTTTTTTAATGATTTTAGCTTTAGTTAATTATAATAACCCTGTCAGGAGAAACATAAGAAGCAGGAGGTGTCTCAGTTTGCTCTCTATATTGCCATGTATAGGAGAAACAAACAACTGAGATTTTTCTCATGTGATTTTCATCCCTCACCCTCAGAAACCGGACTCGTTTCATCTCTGAACTGAGAAGATGAGTGAAAGCCCTCTGATGGAGTACGAGCTGCAGTCTCTGGCTCCTGTCTCGGGCCCCGGGGCCACGGCAGGGCTCCTGCTGGCTCTGGACACAGAGCAGATCACGGCGCTTTGTTTCGTGGGACTCCTGCTGCTGTTTTTGGTGTTCCTGCTGGTGCGATGTTTCCGGATTCTCCTGGACCCCTACAGCAGCATGCCGTCCTCATCGTGGTCTGATCCTAAAGACGGATTGGAGAGGGGACAGTTCGATTACGCACTGGTCTAGAAATACAACAATCTCACAAAACCTATCAAGAACATATTTAACCTCCAAATCTGAAAGGTCATTTTTTTAATTATTTTATTATAATATAATAACATATTATATCTTATAATGATATAATATATTATTATATATAATTATGTACAATATAATATTTTTTATTTTAATATAATATTTTCATTGTTTTCATAACAACATTTCCACCCTAAAATATTCACTAATGGAATGTATAAAATAATATTTTATTAATTATTTAATCAAATTAAATATATTTAATACTATTTTAATTTATAATTTTTTTATTTTAATAGTATATATTTTTTTATTATTTTCATAACATTTCTGCCCCAAAACTTTCATTAGTGGAATGCACAAAATAATGTTTTAATTCAATTGAATCAGTTATGCCTTTAATAAAAAAAAAAAAGAAAGAAAAAAAAGTAATTTGCTTAGTTATACTTAATGGACTACTGAAAATAGGGTTCAGTGTCTTTATGCTAAATCTTTTTGTGTGTGTGTTTCCTTAAGATTTTGGGATGAAAATATGACCTTGACTTGTTGTTTTTTTTATTTAACCACAAAACTAGTACCAGTGCAATATCGCTGAGATTTTAGTCTATAAAACAAGGTTTGCTTGGTTATTTTAGTTCAAGCCACGTTCATTTCAGTCGTGGCAGTGGATGGGTGCCTGTTTTACAATGTCAATTTCTACTTCAGTCAATTATGTGGATGAATCAGGCATCTGTATTCATTTCCCACAGACTTACAAACTTCCTTATTTTTTATTGTAAATTTCTAATTGTCTTTACTGTGCGTGTGAATTGGTTGGATGGTATTTATTAATATTATTATTAAATGTGCATTACGTTGTGTTATGCATTTGTCCGCTTTGCAGGTTTTGTCAGTGATAACTGGAGCAAATGTGCCTTGATTTATTTTTGTATCAGAGACTACTGTCTGTCTGTATTGATTTTGTTGTGATGTTTACGGTCGGTTTGGGATTAGTCTGTGCTTTTTTTTTTTTTTCATCTTGAAAGGGCAAAACTATGTACAAACAGAGATTTCTCTGGAAATGTTTCTTACTCTGGATTGGTTTTTAGCAAAGAAATATTTGCTCAATAAAAGACTTTTTCTCTGATGTTTCCGGATTCTCCTGGACCCCTACAGCAGCATGCCGTCCTCATCGTGGTCTGATCCTAAAGACGGATTGGAGAGGGGACAGTTCGATTACGCACTGGTCTAGAAATACAACAATCTCACAAAACCTATCAAGAACATATTTAACCTCCAAATCTGAAAGGTCATTTTTTTAATTATTTTATTATAATATAATAACATATTATATCTTATAATGATATAATATATTATTATATATAATTATGTACAATATAATATTTTTTATTTTAATATAATATTTTCATTGTTTTCATAACAACATTTCCACCCTAAAATATTCACTAATGGAATGTATAAAATAATATTTTATTAATTATTTAATCAAATTAAATATATTTAATACTATTTTAATTTATAATTTTTTTATTTTAATAGTATATATTTTTTTATTATTTTCATAACATTTCTGCCCCAAAACTTTCATTAGTGGAATGCACAAAATAATGTTTTAATTCAATTGAATCAGTTATGCCTTTAATAAAAAAAAAAAAGAAAGAAAAAAAAGTAATTTGCTTAGTTATACTTAATGGACTACTGAAAATAGGGTTCAGTGTCTTTATGCTAAATCTTTTTGTGTGTGTGTTTCCTTAAGATTTTGGGATGAAAATATGACCTTGACTTGTTGTTTTTTTTATTTAACCACAAAACTAGTACCAGTGCAATATCGCTGAGATTTTAGTCTATAAAACAAGGTTTGCTTGGTTATTTTAGTTCAAGCCACGTTCATTTCAGTCGTGGCAGTGGATGGGTGCCTGTTTTACAATGTCAATTTCTACTTCAGTCAATTATGTGGATGAATCAGGCATCTGTATTCATTTCCCACAGACTTACAAACTTCCTTATTTTTTATTGTAAATTTCTAATTGTCTTTACTGTGCGTGTGAATTGGTTGGATGGTATTTATTAATATTATTATTAAATGTGCATTACGTTGTGTTATGCATTTGTCCGCTTTGCAGGTTTTGTCAGTGATAACTGGAGCAAATGTGCCTTGATTTATTTTTGTATCAGAGACTACTGTCTGTCTGTATTGATTTTGTTGTGATGTTTACGGTCGGTTTGGGATTAGTCTGTGCTTTTTTTTTTTTTTCATCTTGAAAGGGCAAAACTATGTACAAACAGAGATTTCTCTGGAAATGTTTCTTACTCTGGATTGGTTTTTAGCAAAGAAATATTTGCTCAATAAAAGACTTTTTCTCTGAGCTGTAGGCTATTATATGTTGCTCTTTCACAATTAATCAGGCATATCTCCGGACACCCCACATGCATCACAAAGTCCCTCAACATCACCAGTCCATTAACCTGTTTAACTTGTCAAAAAACAACAACAGCCTGCATATGCAACACCATCCCAGTTAACCGGGAACGTTCTGACAACGTTCTCAATGTTATGAACAAACATTCTTTCATTAACGTTAATATAATGTTCATTAAAACCCGTTTCTTACACCATTCTACTAATTTGATCTTCACCCAAAATTTTGGAACGTTATCTGAACGTTTATTGTTAATATTCAAAGAACGTTGGAATGTCCAGTTTTCTTGTGATTAGAACATTATTTAAAAGTTACAAAAATGTTTCTTAGAACGTACAAACACAAATAATATCATAAGGACGTTCGGACAGTGTTGATCTCAGAAGGTTTTCTCTCAACATTATGAGAACGTATTTATCAAACATTAATAACGTTATAAGAACGTTCCAAAAACATTACATTAAGAACATCTGATCTAAAAAAAAACGTTATTGATTGAAAGTTGTGAAAGCGGTCCCTGTTAGACTGGTAGCAGCTATATTCTTGTTGTGCATCATGTCTTAATCAATACAGACTGACACTGTTTTTTTTACAGTAAATAAACTCTTCAGCAAGGGTGAAAGGTCAGGCTCGGTTTATTGTCTCCTTGTGCGACTGTAAAGGTGTCTCTGTAGTTTATGTTCGGTCTCTGATTAAGAGACACATCATGTATTGATTGTGTGATTGATCTGTACTGTAAATCCTACAGGTATCGACAGCAGCGCTGAGTCTGGGCTGGAAGACGTGTGGAGGCAGGTCAGTTTCACAAACCTCCTCAAATGCTTATTATGGCGTCTTAAAATATGAAATATTCATTCATATTTTAGCAATCGTGCAAAGAAACTAATGCCACAGATAGTGTTTAATAAGGACATTTTCTAGGGCATATACATTGTTTTGTATTTAATATTGGTGTCACGTAGCCAGACGTTCAGCAACTTCTAGCTGAGAAACGCCCACGAGACAGAAAGAGAGCGTCTGCTTGGCAATGAGAAGCAACCAAACAGTTTGTTTTTACGTGACATTTAACATTCCCAGAAACTGCATAGCAATCAGACAGCCAAAACACAACTAGCAGTTTTATCCAGCGCTTGCAACATTTTGTGCACAATATGTGTCAGTAGGTGTGAGATCCATCTGAACATGAATTTATATATTATACTGACTGATTCAAGTAAAAGTCTGTTCCAATCCCTTGCATCAAGCGCCATCTACTAGTGAAAATGAGTATTACAGGTGAATAAATGTGCAGTGCAAAAGGTGCAATGACTAAAAATATATGCAATATACTTGCACTCACCATAGTATAATATTGTTTGTATTATATTACAGAAAATGCAGTAGAAATTCTATTTTTGAACTAAAACGTTTGGGTAAAATAATTTCTATATAAACATAATTTGGTGATACTTTAAGGAATGTGTAACTTTTTTATGCTAATTATTTAAGAAGCCTTTTCTTATAAAACACACACACACACACACATATATAATACTTATAAATTATGTAATAAATATTAAATGTAATATTTACATTATCTTTTTAAATTTAGATGTAATTTTTTTTAATAGGTAGGCTATGTAGTAGTAGGAATAGGAGTATTAATAATAATTATAATAATACTAAAAAGTAATCAACCTAATCTTCCATCCTGCTGAAATTCATTATGTCTAATAACAACAGCAATGAGCTCTTTATATCCTGACATCCACAGTTATAAGCTTCAGTATGAGATGAGCTTCATATTCTGAGCTGCTGTTAAACAACGAAGATGAGATGAATCATCATGATCAAATAATAATAATTCACTTTCTAAGGTTCAAAAGAGGAAGAAAGTGTATAAAAGCTCTCCTAAAGAAACCAGTTGTAAGCCTGGATTTTGGAGAGAGCCAGTAAACATCACGTTCCAGTTCAGCCTCCGTCTCATTAGTGAAGACTGCAGACACACAAAAGAGTTCAGCTTCACTTCACCAGAACAAAACACAGGAATCTGACCTTCATCAGACACATGAAGCATCATGTTAGAATATGATTTAGCTGATCTACAGACATTTATATTGTAACATAATGACAATTAAATGAAAACATATTATAGTTTAAGTTTATATTGAATGTGATTAGTGAAACATATTGACCCACTTAAGCATATACATGTTTATGTAATTTCATAGGCTATTTTTATTTTTTATTAACTGTACTGCCGAATGTGCTGACAGGCATGTATATGGTAAACTAAATGTACGTATTTATGTAATTGCACTTTTTTGACAGTATTACAAATTACAATTTTTAAAAGTGTACTGAAGTGTGTTAAGAAACATATGAAAGTGTACACTTAAGTCATCTTTTATTTCATTAATATTATATTAACTGTAAGTACAGTTTTTTTTTAATAAAGTGTGTATTCAATACAGTTAAGCGCACTTCTTTTTCTCACAGGTTGTAGTCTGATTTACAGGCTGCTGTGTTAAATATTACATTTTTTAATTCATAAATTGTTGTTGATACAGAGCATATTATTTACTCTTCACTGTTAAAATGATTTGTTGCTTAATCTTAAAACAAACTTAAGTTGTACAGCATA